GCCCGCGTACACGCCCCCAGCCAACCATTGGTGCAAAAGCCGACCTGGCTCCACCTGTTTCCTGACGTAAGGAAGATGTATCTGTAGGCATTCGTGAAGCCTTCGGTCACTCTTCTGCTGTGGGGCGTGGCTACCGCCTAGAACCCACCCCTTTCCCTTTGATCTTAGACGGTTCTTGTTTATTGGCTGCCGATTGGCCAACATGTGCGATTAGCCCGCCTCTGACTTTCCAGGGGCGGGAGAATTTCAGGCAGGTCTTTGATAGGTTCCACACTCCGGCTACTTCGGCTGCGACCATTGGCCCACACCACCTGGCTCTCCCATTGGCTACGGAAAGAGAAGCTCCCGGGGAATGGTAGCAAACCACCTGTGTGCGGGGACTGGCGCCTCTGAGGCTGCGGGCGCCGCCGGTGGGGTGGGTGGTCGCGGTGCTGACTCAAGGTCAAACTGCTGGCGGACGCCGTTAGGAACCGCGCTCAGTGCCGCGCGGCCCGGACCCGAGAGCACTGTTCCCGCGGGATCTCGCGGCTAACCAGAGTGGGCACTCCCCGCTCGGCCGAGTGCCAGACTGGGAAGTGTCCGAGCCCGCGTCGGTGACCGCAGCGAGCTGCTGGACCCCGGTCGGTTCTGCAGTTTGGGGCAGACCCTGAAGGACCCAGTGGGCCTCGGCCCCACTGCATGGGGTCTTGCACTTGAAGTGGCTCCGTAAACCCCGCGTGGTTCAATGAATGAGTGCTCCGGGACGCGGGGTGGGGGATGTGGTGGACTTTGCGCCACGCTGGAGGGTAGGAGCGGGGGTGTCGTAACGTAGTGGATGACTCAGAACTAGGGCGCGAGAAGTGTCCGGAGGTAGCGTCCTTAGCGCTGCAGGGAAAGTGTGGCAACTGGGGAGCTCGGAGCTTCTTCATTCTCCTCTGGATCGTGTTTGCACAAGCTTTCCCCGTTTTCAGTTCTGTTTTTAATGAGATGACGCAATTGTTAACTTTCCCATCTGTTTGGAGCGTTTCCTTAAATGGGGAAGAGGTTTTCTATTTTCTCTCTAAAGCTTAGTCCTCTGGACCTCTCATCCCTCTCCTCCATCCTGTCTATTCTCTTCCTTTTCAGTAGCGGTTATTAATTTTCCCGTAGCAACCTTTCATAAAATAATAGAGCCTCAAATTCACCTTTTCCCACAAAATTTTGCACATAACACCTGAGTTGCAAAGTCCCTAAAGTGACTTAGGGATTCCTTAGGCATACACGTGTATCTTCCCGACAGCATTCTCTTGCTAGTTTCCCTTGAGAAATGAATAGGAGTCACAGAAAGAAATCCACTCAATCCTGCTTGAGTACTGATTCCCTTTACTGTCAAATTGCACCATAGTAAAGACCTTCTACCTCCTATGCCCCTCTCTCTTTAAGCTCTGTACTGCATTTTACTCCTTAATTCAGTGGTCAAATTTTCTAAATCCGATGGTCATTTTCTTTTTCTTTTCTTTTTGAGACAGGGTCTCACTATTTAGTTGAGACTGACCTGGAACTCACTGTGTAGCCCAGGCTGGTCTCGAACTCACAGCAATCCTCCTGCCTCAGCCTCCCGAGTGCTGGGATTACAGGTGTGTGCCACCACACCCAGCTACCATTTGCTTTTTTTTTTTTTAACGATAGTTGCACAGCACAAGTGAAATTTTAAAAACATGTATACATTTGTAACAAATTCAGGTATCCCATTTTACAACATCACAGTGATGATGCCTCCTTAAATTGCAATGTGCACACACGTAGGTGTAAGGCAGAGTCCTGATCCTCACAGAGAAGGTTTCTAGACTAGTTTCCTTGCATGTGAGCCTACATCATTGAAGATTCTTAAAATGACATTTGTTGGGCAACCAAGGCACATGAAAGCTCTCAGAGGGGAAACTAAGGTGGTAAAAAGGAGGCTGCATAGGAGGGAAGCATTGGAAACATCACAGAAGCTCGCAGTTCCACTGTCATAGTCTAGAAACCCCAACCTGCTCTCCAGGCCTACATTCCTAATGAGTTAAGAATGAGGAGTTGGTGGAAAGTCTATGATTGTTCCTCTTCATAGGAGAAGTGCTTCGTGGGTGGGGATTTAGCTCAGTGGTTCCGGCGCCTGTCTTGCAAGCATCAAGGGCCAGAGTTCCATCCCTGGTACCCACCCCCACAAAAAATAGAAGTGCTTCATTAAAATCAATAATGTTGCCAGGAATGTAGCTTAGTAGTGTGTGTCTGCCCGGCAAGTGCAAGGTCCTGTATTCGATTCCTGGTATGGAAAAAAAAATAACCAAAAGAGAATTCAATACTGCTGTTCATATGACCTATACTGGGTTTCTTACAGACACCCAAAATATATTCAAAGGCCTGAGCCACATCCACTTTCCAGTAGTGCTGCCCAGAGGTGAAGACTTCAGTACCCCACAAAGCAAAAGTGTCCATTGTCTGGGGCTCTGCAGACACACTATGGTGGTCCTCTCCAAATATCATCCTCCTATCTTCCTCAGAAAGCCACAAGTAGTAACTGGCCCACCCTTATCACACCATTATTCACTTGGAATTCGTTCAGCATTTCCTGGAGACCAGTGATGCTCCAGGAAGTGAGCTCTGGGTTTGGTGGCTGGGGCTTGTGCACTGGTCCAGACTCCATCCCTGTGTTCCTCAGCAGCCCTCTCCACTGGGCTGTGGCTGTGAGTAGTGTGTTCTGGGGACTGTGAGTAGGCTCTGCACAGCAGCTTCAGGTCCCCCTCACTGAAGAGCCTCTTTTCCTCCCTGTGTGCCATACAGATCTCCCCAGAGCCAGTGGCACGGTTGGGCCTGCCTGTCTGATGCGGGAAGCCATATTTTTAAGGTTAGTATTAGTTTTGAAGTCCAGAGTGTCTGATATGGCCCTGCACAGAGTGCAGCACTTTGGAGTTTGGGCTTCCTTCTGGTGGAGGAAGAGGCAGGAACAGCAAAGCTGTGCCCACGGTCTGTGGTGATAGGGCTGAGGAAGTAGTTCTTATAGATGGAGCACAAGAGCTCATCCTGGAAGACATGCAAGGAACCTGCATGCATGTTTCTGCCACCAAAAGACCAACATCACTGAAGATACACTGAGAAATGAGGCAAGCTTACTCCAAACTGCTCAATGACCATTTTCTTATTCCCATCTTTTTTAAGGAAAGAACACTTACCCAACATAGACAACTCCCTCATCAAAACTTTCCCTTGTCATCAGCAACCACTCTATTCTACCTTTATAATCTCTCAATTTTGTACACTGCCCTAGCCATTGAGGTGGAAGATTCCTAAAGATTTAATTTTTGTCTATCTCTAGTATCTTGAGTGAACTTTGTCATTCTAAACCTGTTTTCCTCATTGGAGCTGCTACCTTTTATTTCCCTATTGTGTGTGTGTGTGTGTGTGTGTGTGTGTGTGTATGCATGTGTGTGCACAATGTTCACAGTGCTGGGGATTAAATCCAGGGCCCCATGCATGCTATGCAAGCACTGTGCATCCCCAGCCCACTACTGAAGTGTGATAAAAAGGCAACTGGGTGGCTATATTTCTGTGGCCCTGGAAAGCCTTTCCTAATTACAAGCAGGTGCCAGTCATGGCCGACTTAGAGAAGAACATTCTAGCAGAAGAAACAGGTGCAAGAACCCTCAGGTGAGAACAAAGTTGGCTTTTTCTTTTGTTTTTTTAGACAGGTCTCACTGTAGTTCAGGTCGGCCATGAAGTCCTTATGTAGTCCAGTCTGGCCTCAGATCTTGTGGTGATTCTGCTGCTTCAGCCTCCTGACCGCTTGGATAACAGGCGTGTGCCACCACATCTGGCTGAGGTTGGCATATTTAAGCAGTGGAATGAAGGCCAATGTGGACTTTTTAAAAAGTCATTGCTATTAATCTGAGTCTTGGTTATAGAAGCTGAATTTATATTCTGACTGAGACATGGTATTCTCTAGAATGCATTTTTCCCTTTTTGAAAAATCAAAATTTTAGGGCTTACACATGAACGTAAGACCACTTTCTTTATTCACCTAAATAGAAATTGATTCCCAAATGATAGGCCATAAGACCTGTAGGAATTCACAGGGAAATGAGTGATGGGGCAACCCATGAGGAGTATCATTGTACATTTCGGCAATTTTCATACTGGAGATTATGTACAGAAAGACTTTCCAAGGGATATGTGGGAAATAGTTTCAAGGAATCAATTTGTTCAGTCGCATGTGTTCCTTCCTAAAATTTGTCTTCC